TGAATGCCTTGGCACAGAATTTTTTAACAAACGCTTTTGATGGATCAGAAGACCACAAAGTATCAGATAAATTGTTAGCGCTTGCAGGTGATGAAAAATGTTATCATTTAGAAGTGACTTGCTTAAGTCAACACCCTCAGATTCGTTATCAGCACTACTGAAAACGATAACACCTCCAAAAGGCACTCACGGAAAAGCATCTTATAATGCACCACCAGATGAAGGTATGGAGGTTTTTGATTGTGAATGCCCAGAAATGAATCCGTTATAAAACGAGAATGAGGAAGAAGACGAGTTAAATGATATCAATCCATTCGTTCAATAAGTTGTCTCGGACATGGCCAAGCGAGTCGTATGTCTCAGATATGGTCAAGCGGGTGGTAGAGGAGGAAATGAAAATCATCAAGCCTTTCTTTGTACTGAAACAATGCCGACATAAAAGAAAGATGCAATTTTTCTTGATATATTGCTGGATCTACTCGATAGGCAGCCCACCCACACCAGTGCCATTTGCTCCATTTAATTATAAAAATTAAAGTCCTGCAAAACAAAGCCTGTGCAAGTTGAAAACGGAGATTGCAAGTTGAGTCTGTCAGTAAGCAGTTAATGAATAATGAAGAAAGTGGCGAATCTCGGGTGCTGGAAGTGGGTGCAGAGTCTCTTATGAGGGCGGAAATTCTGATAAGTATTGGCGATGGCACTGATGAGGACAGAAACGCCTTTTGTTTATTTGACTAGCCTATGAACTTATGTTACAATTTTGTTTTTATTGTGTTCAATATAAGGTAAAAAAAATTCGCAAATGTATTTGGAATGTATATTTTTTTTCAGACTTTTTAACCCTGCCCATTTCCCAACCTACCGCAGATTCTCATATTAGGCCGTCGTCATTCGTTTCATGCTAGAGACTAGTTCTATGCTAGAAGCCCCGGGAATCAGTTTAATATATAAATAGCGGCTTTTAAAAGATGTTGACTCGTATTTATCGTTTAACTATTCGACAACCATTTGTTCTCACCCATTCATCAAAACCTAAACAAAAATGGTAGCCTGTTTTTGCTTACAATGCATTTTTGAACGACCCTTTGGAACTCGGAGTAATCTGAAGCTACAACATAATGAAACACCATAAGGTAAACTTTACCCGTCTACACGTTTATTCGGAACACAAGAGTAATGGTATTTTTCCACCTCAAACTATCAGGTAGTACTAGTAGACCTATAACAAAACTGTTCGTTGTTCGTGTCACTGCGACGGCAAATACAACAATAGCTGAACAATATGTACGCTAATACGACAACAGGTACAAAAGTGTTCGTACACTATTCACGTCACGACGGCAACATTGTTCGTGCAACATATGTGACACCACAAACACAGGTACAACATTATTCAACATTTGTATTACCATAACGACAAATGCACAAACGTTTGTAAAATATTCACGTTACCGCAGCAGCAATTTGTACTATAATCACATTAGAACTTTGACATATAAATGAACGTTGTCAATTCTGTGTGAGGTTCAGTTAAAAAATATTTTAATATTTCCACAGAGGTATATATATATATTGTTACGACAGCGGAAGTCACATGACGCTGATGAGTTTCTCGAATGATCAGGGAAGGCCGAGTGTGCTCGAGATGCCCTCTTTGTTAGTATATAAGCCTGGCAGAGAAAGCCAGCAGGAATGAATGAAGAGAGAGCAGTAGTTACTTTGAGTCCCATTTAATTTATGATTCTGTTAGTTTCGAGCTAGTGAGCCGGAAAGTGTTTGTTTTGCACTCGTCGAGAGCGAAGTTATCGAGATTGTGAATCGCTGTGATTTATTGCGTGTACTGTAAAAGTTGTTAAGTTTAAAGTGACGAGAAACGTAATGATTGTGGAACTTCTGTATACTGAAAGTTGTATCGTGGAAGAATGAACTGGTTTAATCAAGAAAGGACTTGTATCGCTGAAGATCCTCGGAGAGAATTTCTACCAGAAACAAACAAGCAGATATGCAACAATATATATATATATATAAACAACGTATTTTCAAACTAAAGCATTTCAGAACATGTCAAGGTCATCTTGAAACCATGTTAGTGATTATATCTTAAAGAAGTCATTGTATGCTAATAAAGTCGCTCAGAAAGGGAATTAGAAACGCGCTGAAAAGACGTCATACATGCGTGATTATAACTTGTCTAACAGCAGAAAAAAAAACAACAAAAAAGAACGTTAGCTTTATAAAGTCTTGTCTTCAACATACATATGGCCACCAAAACTATTAGCCAGAAGATCCTTTCTTTTTGTCAACCGTTTATAATCGAGGTGCCTTTTCATACGTGCCCCCTTGTGTTAAGTGTTTAGCATAACAAACAATTCCTACTTCCTCTGCATGTTTAGAGGTTGTTTCGGCCGTCTTTTTCTTCTCTCCGGATATTTAGTTGTTAATTCAGTTGTCCCTCTCTTTTGTCTGGACATTCAATGGTTATTTTGTCAAGTATATCTTTCTCGTTTCTGAAAACTTAAAAAAAGTTTTTTATTTTTATTTTCCCAATCTCTCTTTTATCTAAATACATACATAAATGTCGTTTCCTCAACTCGGGGGGGGGGGGGGCTGATTGCCCTATAGACTAAAAAAGGGAACTAATAGGTTGGTTTTGGAGGCGTCATCAAACATTGATATGGCACACTCTCTCTCTCTCTCTGATTTTTTTTTCTTTTCTGAAAATATAAAGGTTGTTTTGGCAGTCTTTCCTGATCATCTGAATTTTTAGTGGGTAGCTGTCGGTATCGGTTTTTAGATCTTTGTAGACCTGGGAGGGTCAGGTTCGCCTGGACCTCTTCCTCCCACTGCATTTGTTAGTTTACAGCTGAATATTCTTTAATTATAGCATGAGGATCAGAGGTTATGCTATTGCAGTTACTCTAACCTTTCAAGGTCATGCCCATATGTAGTAATCAAGAAAATATTCCATACGAGGAACACACTTTCTCTTTGTTCGTTACTGAGTAAAAGTCACACACATCACGAACAGTTGAGTTTCACATATGTTTCATTACAGCGAGAACGTTATACATAAAATACCCTTTTCAATGCTCTCTGAGTTAAATATACTACGGATGGGACATCGATTGTTTGGTTTACTTTGACACGATGGTCACATTATAATGTCCCATGGCTGAAACGACGAACATGTTCGGTGTGACGGGAATTCTAACCAGCGACTCTCAGAGTGGGACACTGAACTGTATCTGGTTAGTTAAGATACGTTTTAGCCTTGTTCGGATGTTTAACCCAAGAATTAACACAGGGACCCATATCTCGTGGGTTGTTAAACAATTTAAACTGTTTATTGCTTGTGGGTCAATGGTTTTGTTAGTTTCAGGGTCCTTAATAACCTAAAACCCACACAAACACACGTGAAACTAAAAATCCATCAACATTGTATTTATTGTCGCTAACTGCTGCTGAAGTCTACTATGTATCTTAACATTTAAAATTAATGACTTCACCCGATCATTTCAGTGGTGTAGGAAAGGGTTATTGGCTAAATATCCAGATTTTAAAAGAAATTTAAAGTATTAGGTCGTCAAGAAATTAATGTCGCTTTTTTTAGATGAAAAAAACCCTAACAACTTTTATATCAAAACAAAACATTTATTAAATGAAATAGTCTCCATTCCTATCGATGATGCTTTTCCATCTTACAATAAGGTTGTTAATGCCATGATT